AGCCCTCTGTCAAATATAGGGTTGGTGAAGATCCTTTCCCAGTCTGCAGGCTGTTGTCTTTTTCTGACTACAGTGTCCTTTGCTTTACAGAAGCTTTTCAGTTTCATGAGGACCAATTTACTGATTGTTGCTCTTAGAGGCTGTGCTGTTGGTATTCTCTTCAGTAAGTTTTCTCCTATTCCAATGAGTTCTAGGCTCTTCCCCACTATTTCTTCTAACAAGTTTAGTGTGTCTGGTTTTATATTGAGGTCTTTGATCCACTTGGACTTTAGTTTTGTGCAGAGTGATAAGTATGGATCTATTTGCATATTTATACATGTAGACATCCAGTTAGACCAGCACCATTTGTTGAAGATGCTGTCCTTTTTTCCATTGTATGTTTTTGGTTTATTTGTAGAAATTCAAGTAGCCATAGGTGTGTGGGTTTATTTTGGGGTCTTCAATTCCATTCCATTGATCCACCATTCTGTTTCTATGCAGGTACCATGCAGTTTTTATTATTATTGCTCTGTAGTACAGCTGGAGATCAGGGATGGAGATACCTTCAGACTATCCGTTGTTGTACAGGATCATTTTGACAATTCTGTTTTTTGTTTGTTTTTTCATATGAAGTTGAAAATTTTTCTTTCAAGTTCTGTAAAGAATTATGTTGGTATTTTGATGGGAATTGCATTGAATCTGTAGATTGCTTTTGGCAGGATGGTCATTTTCACTATGTTAATTCTACTGCTCCGTGAGCACAGGAGAGCTTTCCATCTTCTGATATCTTATTCAATTTCTTTCTGCAGAGACTTGAAGTTTTTTTTTTTTTTCATACATATCTTTCACTTGGTTGGTTAGAGTTACACCAGGACACTTAATTTTCTTGTAGCTTTTTGAAGGGTGTTGTTTCCCTAATTTTTTTCTTGTCCCATTTGTCTTTGGTATACAGTAAGGCTTCTAATTTTTTTGAGATAATCTTGTATCCAACCACTTTGCTGAAGGTGTTTATCAGATGAAGGAGTTCTGTGGTTGAAGTTTTGAGGTCGCTCATGTATATTACTATATCATATGCAAATAGTAATACTTTGACTTCTTCCTTTTCGATTTGTATCCTCTTGATCTCCTTTATTTATCTTATTGCTCTAGCTAGGACTTCAAGTACTATATTGAAGAGATATGGAGAGAGTGGGCAGCTTTGCCTTGTCCCTGATTTCAGTGGGATTGATTTAAGTTTTTCTCCATTGAGTTTGATGTTGGCTATAGGCTTGCTGTATATTGCCTTTACTATGTTTAGGTATGTGCCTTGTATTCCTGATCTCTCCAAGACTTTAAAAATTAATGGATGTTAGATTTTGCCAAATGCTTTTCGACATCTAAGGAGATGATCATGTGTTTTTTCTCCTTCAGTTTGTTTATATGGTGGATTACACTGATGGATTTCTGTATATTGAACCACCCCTGCATGCCTGGGATGAAGCCTACTTGGTCATGGTGGATGATATCCTTTATATCATATTCTTTATATTATATGTACTTGGATTGGTTTGCCGGTATTTTATTGAATATTTTTGCATCAATGTTCATAAGAGAGATAGGTCTGAAGTTCTCTTTTTTGGTTGGGTCTTTGTGTGGTTTAGGTATCAAGGTGACTGTGGCTTCATAGAATGAGTTTGGTAATGTTCCTTCTGTTTCTATTTTGTGGAATAGTTTGAAGAGTATTGGAATTAGCTCTTCTTTGAAGGTCTGGTAGAATTCTGCACTGAAACCATCTGGCCCTTGGCTTTTTATTATTATTATTATTATTATTATTATTATTATTATTATTATGGAGACTTTTGATGATTGCTTCTATTTCCTTGGGGGATATAGGACTATTCAATCTTTCTACCTGATCTTGATTTAATTTTGGTAAATGTAATCTATAAAGAAAATTGTCCATTTCCTTTAGATTTTCAAATTTTGTGGCATATAGGCTTTTGAAGTAAGACCTAATGATTGTTTGGATTTCCTCAGTGTCTGTTGTTATGTCCCCCTTTTCATTTCTGATTTTGCTGATTTGGATGGTTTCTCTCTGCCTTTTAGTTATTTTAGGTAAGGGTTTATCTTTATTGTTGATTTTCTCAAAGAACCAGCTCTTGGTTTTATTGATTCTTTTAACAGTTTTATTTGATTCCAATTCATTGATTTCAGCCCTGAGTTTGATTATTTCCAGCCGTCTACTCCTCTTGTGTGTGTCTGCTTCTTCCCCCCCCCCCCAGGACTTTCAGGTGGGACATTAAGTTGCTTGTATGAGATGTTTCAAATTTCTTCTTGAAGGCACTTTGTACTATGAATTTTATTCTTAGCACTGCTTTCATTGTGTCCCATAAGTTTGGGTAAGTTGTGCCTTCATTTTCATTGAATTCTAGGAAGTCTTTTAAATTCTTTCTTTATTTCTTCCCTAACCCAGCTGTCATTGAGTAGCAAGTTGTTTAGTTTTCATGTGTGTGTAGGCTTTTTGTCATTTCTGTTGTTGTTGTGGTCTAGCTTTTGTCCATGGTGGTCAGATAGAATACAATAAATTATTTCAATCTTCTTGTGTCTGTTGAAGGTTGCTTTGTGACCAAGTATGTGGTCTATTTTGGAGAAGTTTCCTTGAGGTGCTGAAAAGAAGGTGTACTCTTTTGAATTTGGGTGAAAAGTTCTGTAGACTTCTATTAGGTCCATTTGATTTAGGACCTCTGTAAGTGCCTTTATATCCCTATTTAGCTTCTGTCTAGATGATCTGTTCTCTTGGTGAGAGTGGAGTGCTGAAGTGTCCCACTTTTAAGGTGTTGGGATCAATGTGTGATTTCAGCTTTAATAATGTTTCATTTACAAATGTAGGCGCTTTTGTATTTGTGGCATAGATGTTCAGAATTGTGGTGTCCTCCTGGTTGAAATTTCTTTTGATGAGAATGAAGTGCCCCTCCTCTGTTTTTTTTTTTTTTATTAATTTTTGTTGAAAGTCTATTTTGTTAGATGTTAGGATAGCTACCCCAACTTATTTTCTGTGTCCATTTGCTTGAAAAAAACTTTTTTTCAGCCCTTTACTCTGAGGTAGTGTTTATCTTTGTTGCAGAGGTGTGTTTCTTGGATGCAGCAGAATGTTGGATCCTGTTTCTGCAACCATTCTGTTAGTCTGCGTCTTTTTATTGGAGAGTTGAGTTCATTGATGTTGATAGATAATAGTGACCAATGAATGTTAGTTTCTTTTATTGTAGAGTTGGTGGTGTTACTGTGATTAATTGCTTGTTTTCTTTTAATATTTGTTGTGAAAGTTATCTGTATCCTGTTTTCTTGGGTGTAGTTGTTTTCATTGGAGTTTTCTTTCTAGTATCTTCTGTAGGGCTGCGTTGCTGTGTAGATATTGTTTAAATTTATTTTGTCATGGAATGTTTTGCTTTTTACATTTATGTTGATTGAAAGCTTTTCTGGGTAGAGTAGTCTGGGTTGGCATCTGTGGTCCATTAAAGTCTGCATGACATCTGCTCAGGCCCTCCTGGCTTTCATAGTTTCCATTGAGTAGTCTGGTGTGATTCTGATAGGTCTACCTTTATATGTTACTTGGCCTTTTTCCCTTGCTGCCTTTAATATTTTTCTTTGTTCTGTAGGTTTAGTGTTTTGACTATGATGTTTCTTTTCTGGTCTAGTCTATTTGGTGTTCTGTAGGCCTCTTGTATGTTTATGGATATCTCTTTCTTTAGGTTGGGAACATTTTCTTCTATGATTTTCTTGAAAATATTTTCTGAACCTTGAGGTCTGCAATCTTCTTTTTCATCTATTTCTATTATTCTTAGGTTTCATCTTTACATGGTGTCCTTGATATCTTGGAGGTTTTGTGTTTGGAACTTTTCCAATTTTACTTTTTCTTTGAGAGAAGTATCAGTTTCTTCAAGTGTAACTTCAGCACCTGAGATTCTCTCTTCCATCTCTTGTATTCTATTGGTGATGCTTACCTTTGTGGTTCCTGATCTTTTCTCCAAGTTCTCCAGCTCCAGGGTTTTCTCTATTTGTGTTTTCTTCTTGCACCATTTTCTTCATCTATTTGAGTGTGGATTTCTGTCTTTGTATGATGACTTCTATTTTTTTGTTTGTTTCCTCTGCATATGCCATTAATTGTGCCCCTATTTGTGCCTCATTTTGTTTGGCTATATTTGCCTGTATTGCTTTGAAAGCTTTGTTCATTTCCTCATTATTTGCCTCTATTTGTGTGGCTATTTTTTGGGGAGCTTTGTTCGTTTCCTCTTTATTTGCCTCCACTTGTGTGGCTATTTCTCTGAGAGATTTGTTTCCTCTTTATGTGACTCTAATGACGGGATAAGCATAGCTTTAAGTCATTTTCTTGTGTTTCTGATGAATTGAAATATCCATTGGTTTTGGGGGTTACTGGTGGAGCCACGATGTCCTGATTTTTGTTGGTTGTGTTCTTACACCAACCTCTAGCAATCTGCTTATCCATAACCTTCACTGTTTGTTCCTGGAGTCAGTTTTTCAGACTGGGTCTATCGTTCTCTGGTGTCTGGTGTATTCTTCAGGAAGATGAGAGAGGTCCACTGGTTTGAGAGTGTGCATTGGTGTTTCAGCTGTACCTAAGGGAGGAAGAACCGCTGGTGCAGAACCACAATTACAGGGGAGCAAGGGTGTGCATGTTCGTGGAAGTGTGTCTTGAAGGACAGAGTGCTAGAGAGTGTAGATGCTTGGAATGTGGGGGGCGTGCAGGTGCAAGAAGGGGTGTGGATGCTAGTGTTGTTTGCGGGCCCAATGTGCTTGCACAGATTTCCTGAATACTTCTGTGGCCTATAGTCCTCTCATACTGTCATTCTGGTATTGAGATATGTCTGGGCTCCAGGAGTTGTAGACACACAGAGCAGGGGCTTCCATGCTGACAATGCTATCCCAAGAATCCCTACGGTGCCTCAGAACTTGGGGAGATGGTGTTTTAGTTCACTCGGAGTCCAGTCACCCACCACAGCAGAACTAGGAGGCTGCTGGAACAGATGCCTTCTGGAAGACCCTGGGGAGCTTTGGACCTGGTCGGCCTGGTAGCACCACCGGCACTGCCCTCTGTGCTAGGAGCTGTGGGCACTGTGGGCTGGGCACTGCGTTATGTGGTGGGCCTTGTGGGCTGCCTCTGCAGCCTCTGCCTCTGCCAAGGAGGGAGAAGGGAGGCCTGTCAAGGGGAAGTGCTAGGGGATTGAGTATTCTCTGTCTCAAATCTCAACCAGGGGGTTCTGTGCTAGAAGCAGCTGGCACTGTGCTCTGTGCTAGGAGCTGGGGGCACTACAGGCCACCTCCACTGCCTGGAAGTATATCTTAGTGTTATAGCAACTTAAGTAACTGTATGAAGCTCTGAATCTCAACTGCATACACACCCCTACGGACATACACCTGTTTAGCGCTGTTAGGAAATGTTATTATAGTATTTTTATGAATAATAATAATAACATTTTTGCATTTTGTATGATGGTCAGAAGGAAAGGAAAAGGTATATCTTATGGAAACTTTGTTACATGAGTTTGGGAAAATATCCTCAATTTCGATAATATGAAAGGTATCAATTTGACTCTATATCATGTTTTTTTGTTTGTTTGTTTGTTTTAATGAATTCCATGGCCTAGTAAGTTTCAGGTATATGGAGGATCTGGTGCTCAGATTGTTTAGGAAATAGAGACATCATTTATACAGATTCAATAATTGGACAGTGGTGTCTCTAATTGGACATATCATTTCTTTTCCTTACAAAGCAAGGCCAATACTTCAGACCCGGCATAAATTAATGTTTGACTAATGCTTTCAAGTAATAATAAATATTTCAGTTTTACAGGATATATATCCACCCTTCTCAGTTTCTACTTTTTTTTTAAAGTTGGAAGTCATTGCTAATGCCTGTTTTGTATTCATCTGTAATAACATTACTTTTTGTAGAGAGTCAATACAGTTTACTTTCTGAGAATGAGTAGTGATCACCATGTTCAAATTAATCCCAGTGAAAATTGCACCCTATTTTTACCTCAAAGAAATTTTATTTTCAGGTTTTACACTTAGGATAATTTCAAGTTTCACAATGCAATATTTATTGGGCCAAAGACCCAGGAACAAGTTTCACAGTGCTTTGTTAACTTTAACCAATTATGATAAGTACATAGCACATTTATTACTCACTGTTATTTCAGGAATTGTTAATACCTTGATCATAACCAGTAATTCATGGCGACTACATGAAATGATTGACAGATTCTTCGTGAACATATCAAATGTCAACAGGGAGTCCCTGGCTGAAATACAGACTCTTCACGTTGCTAAAACACACACACACACACACACACACACACACACACACACACACACACAAAAGGACTATTTTATTTGTGATTCATTTTTGGTGATAGGTTTGTTTTAAAGACTTATTTTTAATTATGTACAGGTGTGTGTCTGCACGTGGGTTTGTGTATACGGGTACATGTCTAGGAGGCCAGAGGCCTCAGAACCCTTGGAGCTGTCCTAAGGTCCTCTGCAAGAGCAGTACATGCTCTTAACCACCAAGCCATCTCCACAGCCCCCACATTATTTTTTGTCTTTGAGGTAGGGTTTCACACTGCGCCAGGATCTCCCTGCCTGGGAAAGACTAGCTGGCCTGCAAGCCCCAGCGAGCCTTCTTGGTTTCTGCCTCCCCAGTGCTAATACTATAGGTGTGCACCACCATGTCTGCATTTGACATGTGGGTGTTTGAGGATCTGAGCTCGTGTCCTCATGGATGCATAGCTCTCTAGCACTTATTCTTGTATTTTTCCTGTAAGGGTTTTAAGGCCGGGGAGACGGTTTAACAGGTAAAGGTACCTCTTGGCAAGCCTGACAAGTTAAGTTTGATTCCTAAAGACCCACGTGGTGGAAGGAGAAAACCAACTTCCATAAGTTGTCCTCTAACCTGCATATGTGTCCCCTACCAAACAAAAGAAATAAAAAATGTCATAGAAAGTTAAGATTTATTTTTATTAATTTTTAATTATATAATATGTGTGTGTGTATGTATGTGTGTGTATATGTGTATGTAGTGGAAGGTGCTTCTGGAAGCCAGAGACATTGGATGTCCAAGGAGCTGAAGTTACAGATAGGTGTGAGTCTGCCCAGCTGGGAACTAAATTTTGGTCCTCTGGAAGAGCAAGAACTAATCTTTTTTTTTTTAAAGGAGGTTTATCGGCAGCGTGCAGGGAATCATATGAAAGAAGGGGAGTTAGTATGACATGGACAGGATAGGAGCTCTACAAGGACCAAATATATCTGGGCACAGGGTCTTTTCTGAGACTGACACTCAACCAAGGACCATCTATGGATATAACCTAGAACTTCTGCTCGGATGTGGCCCGTGGTAGCTCAGTAACCAAGTAGTTTTCCAAAGTAAGGGGAACACGGACTATTTCTAACAGGATCCCAAGGGCAGGCTGTTTGACACCCCCCCCCCCCAGGGGAGGAGCAGGCTGTTAGGCCACAGAGGAGGACTTTGCAGCCAGCCCTGAAGATACCTGATAAAACAGGGTCAGATGAAAGGGGAGGAGGTCCTCCCCTATCAGTGGACTTGGAAAGGGGCAGGGAGGAGACCAGGGAGGGAGTGTGGGGTTGGGGAGGGAATGAGGGAGCGGGATACAGCTGGGACACAGAGTTAACAAAATGTAACTAAAAAGAAAAATAAAATAAAATAAAAAAAAGAACTAAGAAAAGCCAAAAAAAAATTTTTTTTCAGAAAAAAATAAAAAATAAAAAAATAAAAGGAGGTTTATACTTTTAATTCTTATGTTTGTGTTTACAACCATTTTGTGTCTATTTTAGAAACTATTTACGTATATGAATATTTGCTTTCATATATGTATTCATAACATATGTATGCCAGGAGGTTGCAGAGGCTGGAAGAGAGCATCAAATTCTCCTGAGCCATCTTGTGCATGCTGGGAACTGAACCGGTAGCCTCTGCCAGGGCAGTAAGTGCTCTTAGCCGCTGAGGCATCTCTTCATCCACGTCAGTGTGTTTGTGTATGGTATGAAAAACGAATTCAGTTTTATCTTTTGCATGTTGATAATAAGTTGTTGCAGCATCATTGGTGGAAGACTTTTTCCCCATTGAATTTGTCTTAATGCCCTTGTTAAAAGTCTGTTAGTCCTAACTGTGTTTTATTTCAGGACTTCATTCTCTTCCACTGTCTTTCCCTATATACTATTACTACATTGTAGCTTTGGAGCAAGTTTTGAAATTAGAAAATGTGAGTTCCTTAAGTGCGTTCTTTGCTTTCAAGACTGTTTTCGAAGACTACTGGTATTTTGAATTTCCATATGAATTCCAGGATTATCTTATCAGTTTATTCAAAGATGGCAGATAGAACTTTGAGCAAGACTTCAGGTGAATTTATAGGTCAGGGGCCCAGCAGTGAAGAACAGTGGCTCCTCTGTTCTTCTAGAGGTCCTGAGTTCAGTTTCCACATGGTGGCTTACAATTATCCATAATGGGATCTGTTTCACTCTTCTGCTGTATATGCAGACAAAGCACTCATTTAATATAAATATTATATAAATAATATAATACATCATATATATTAATATTAAGATAAAATATATATTCTATAAACACATTTATAAGTCAATTTAAGGAGCACTTTATCTTAATGTTAAATTTTGGCCTATAAAAATGGTATGTTTTCTTACTCATTAGGTCATCTTTCATTTCTTAGTTTTGGGGCATAAAAATTGAACTTATTTTGATAGTTTTATTTCTGAATACGTTAGTCTTGATAATGTTATTAGAAATATAGTAATTTAAAATTTAGATTTCTAATTGTTGCCTGGAAATTTAGTTGAGCTTTTTTTTGTTTTGTTTTCTTGTGGGTTTTTTTTTTCTTGTGTTTTCTTGTTCAGGGATTGAACCTGGGCCTTGTGCATGCTAGACAAGCAGTCTGTCAGTGAGCTGAGTCTCAGCCTACCATTCATTCAAATTTATGTGTTAATCTTATTGTAGCCTTGCTGAACTTGTTGATTAATTATAATGCCTCTGAGAAGATTACTTAGTATGTAATTTTTTTTTAAAATTATAACCTCTTCTTGTACTTAATTGTTAGTGAAAAGTTATTATAAGTGTCAATATCAGGAGTCTGGTCTTGGGCTATCGAGATGGCCTAGCAGTTAAAGCCATGACTTGATTTTGATTTCTGTGACCCGTGAGTTATCTTCTGACTACCACAGACATGCTCTCCCCTCCACCATAAATATATAAATAAATATATAACTATAAATATAATAATAAAAATAAATTGTCTGTTTTGTAAGAAATTTCATGTGGTTTTGGAAATACTTTAAATTTCTTAATTTCTAGAAATCTTAATCTTCATGTTGTATATTTATCTTTGTTATAAATATATTGTTTATTATTTTTTAAAGATTTACTTATTTTATGTGTATGAGTGTTTTTCTGGTATGTGTGCAAGTGTATTACACATGTATCTTGTGCCTGTAGAGGCCAGAAGAAGTGCTAACTCCACTGGAACTGCCATTATATACAGCTATATTCTACTATGAGGGTGCTGGGAACTGAATCTGGGTCCTCTGTAAGAATAAGTGGTCTGAACTCAGTGAATAAGTGGCTGGCTCTTTGAACACCTCCCCCTGGGGGAGGGGGAGCAGCCTAACCAGGTCACAGAGGAAGACAGTGCAGCCAGTCCTGATGAGATCTGATAGACTAGGGTCAGATGGAAGGGGAGGAGGACCTCCCTATCAGTGGACTGGAGGAAGGGCATAGGAAGAGAAGAGGGAGGGCGGGATTGGGAGTGGACAAGGGAAGGGGCTACATCTGAGATACAAAGTGAATAAATTGCAATAAATAAAAAAGTAAATTTAAAAAATTAAAACAAAACAAAACAAAACAAAACAAAAAAAACAAAAAAGAACAAGTGCTCTTAACCTTTGAGAGATCTCTCCAGCCCTAGCTATTTATTATTATACATTTACACACACCTAACAGAAAATCAGGCATACATTAGACATTTAATATGTGTGTGTTAAAAATTATGCATTTTGTGCCTTTCAAGTATTTATAATTCTAATTCACATTGTACCTCTTAATAAAATATGGAAAGATACAAATTTATTTAAAAATCATGAAGTAGTGTAATCATGGGAATTTTGAGAAAGAGGAAATTATCACCTATATTCGTATAATTGTGATATAACTACTATAATTGTGTATTTCAATAACTACTATATTTCAATTTTATATAGCTATAATTATAATGTACCTGTAAAGCTTCCCTATTATAAAAACAATTTCTTCTGTTTTGCCACCATTTTATCATAATAGTTTTCAAAAAGAAAAGTTGGGGACCTAGCTTCGTGGTATATATTTGGGTTAACATTTGTGAAGTCCAGGATTTGACCCCTCCCCAAATTACAGTGGATATTTCTGTTGCAGTAATTTAGACCCCATAGTTGTATATTTTCTTCCTTTCCTTTCTTTTATTTTCTCGGATAGGGGATTGAACTTGGTCTCATTCATGCTAAACATGTACTCTTCAATTGAGCTCTTTTTTTTTACTGTATTTATTCACCATTTGTTTACCATCTGTATTTGTTTACCACTTATTTATCAGCATAGTTTCATTTAAATGGGTATCAATATTTTGTCACTTACTTTATTAAGATTCATGATTTTATTAAAACTCTTTTGGAGATAAATTTATATTAGCACAGTATTTCATCCATATAATCTTGCATCTTATCTTTTCACTAGATATGAAAACATTTCCCATTGTTAAACACAGTGTCTATGATTGTCATTCTTTCTAGCTGTGTATGCTTTCTTATTTTATTTTATTTTGCTATTTTGAGACAGGGCCCCAATATGTAGCTGTGGCTGGGCTGGAACTCACTATGTAGATCAGGTTGGCCTGCAACTGGTGGAGATCACTTTACTTCCCAACTTCTGGGATTAAAGGCATGTACCACTATGCTCAGAGGCCACTATTTTCATTTTTAAATTTTGTTTGTCTGTGTGTGTGTGGGGAGTTGGGGAGGACCACACATGCCATGACATATGTGGATATCAGATGATAATTTTGTTAAGCCCGTTCTTTTCCTTTTATCTTAATGTGAGTTCCAGGGGTTGAACTCAGGTTGTCAGGAACTTGTGTGACAAATTCCTTTACCAACTGAACCATCTCACTTGCCATGACTGCTATTTTAAGTGGTTGGATAACATCCCTTCAAGGGAATTTAGTATAATTCACCTATGTATTTCTTCATTATTGGATATTTATATTGTTCCACATTTTCTTTACTTTTTAAGTATATATTTTTTTAAATTTTAAAATTATTATTTATTACAATTTATTCACTTTGTATCCTAGCTGTGGCCCCCTCTTTCCTCTCCTCCAAATCCCACTCTCCCTCCCTCTTCTTCTCTTATGCCTCTCCCCTAGTCCACTGATAGTGGAGGACCTCCTCCCCTTCCATCTGACCCTAGACTATCAGGTCTCATCAAGACTGGCTTCACTGTCTTCTTCTGTGACCTGGTTAGGTTGCTCCCCCACCCCCAGGGGGAGGTGATCAGAAAGCCTGCCACTGAGTTCATGCCAGAGACAGCCCCTGTTCCCCTTACTAGGACACCCACTTGGAGACTGAGCTGCCATGGGCTACATCTGAGCAGGGGTTTTAGGTCCTCTCCACGCATGGTCCTTGGTTGTGGTATCAGTCTCTGCAGGGCCCCCAAGACCCAGTTTTTGGCTCTGTTGGTCTTCCTTTGGAACTCCTGTCCCCTCCAGATCTATCTCTCCCTTTTTTAATAAAATTCCATGCCCTCTGCCCAGAGTTTGGCTATGAGTCTCAGCCTCTGCTTTGATACCTTGATCAGTAGAGTCTTTCAGAGGCCATCTGTGGTAGGCTTCTGTCCTGTTCCCTGTTTTCTCCTGCTTTCAGTGTCTGTCATGTTTGTCCTTCTGAATGAGGATTGAGTATCTTTTCTAGGGTCTTCCTTGTTTACCTACTTTAGGACTATAGATTTTAATATGTTTATCCTATATGTCTAATAACCACTTATGAGTGAGTTTATACCATGTATGCCTTTCTGCTTCTGGGTTATCTCACTCAAGATGATCTTTTCTAGTTCTTATCATTTGCCTGCAAATTTCATGATTTCCTTGTTTTTAATTGCTGAGTAGTATTCCATTGTGTAAATGCACCACAATTTCTGTATCCATTCCTCCACTGAGGGACATCTAGGTTGTTTTCAGATTCTGGCTATTATGAATAGAGCTACTATGAACACGGTTGAGCAAATGTCCTGGTTGTATAGTTGAGCATATTTTGGATATATGCCTAGAAGTGGTATAGCTGGATCTTGAGGTAGCACTATTCTTAATTTTCTGAGAAAGCGCCAGATTGATTTCCAAAGTGGCTGTAAATGCAAAGATTATTAACCATTTATACTATTTTCTTACAACAGAGTCTCAGAAGAGCAATTACTGGGGGAAATATATGAACAGTTTTGGAGCTGATGCTGAGACCCAAAGCCAAGCATTAGGTGGCGCTCCGGGAATTCTGCAGAAGAGAGGGAGGAAGGATTGTAGGAGCCAGAGGGGTCAAGGACACCACAAGAAGACCTACAGAATCAACTAACCAGGCCTCATAGGGACTCACAGACACTGAAGTGACAATTGGGGAGGCTGAATAGATTTGACCTAGGTCCTCTGTATATATGTTACAGCTCTGTAATTTGGTGTTCTTGTGGGACTCCTAACAGTGGGAGTGGGAGGGAGGTTCTCTGACATTTTTGCCTGTTTTGGGTATCCTTTTTCTTCTGCTGGGTTGCCTTGTTCAGCCTTAACATGAAGGGAGGAGCTTAGTCTTATCATATGTTTGGTTGATATTCCTGAGTGGCTTGCCCTTTTCTGAAGGGAAACAGAGGAGGAATGGATCTGGTGGAGAGGGTAGGTGTCAGGAGGAGTGACTGGGAGGAGAGGAAGGAGGGAAAACCACAGTTGGGATGTAATATATGAGAAAAGAATAGGTAAAAAAGAAAAAAAAATGTTTTAATGTGAATTTTTATTTCTTCTCTTAAAATTTGGAGTCAAACAACTTCACATGTTGTTGGTGATGTAAATCCATAATATTTTTGTGAAAGACACCATTCATTCAATGATGGCATGATGATACTATGTGAGAGGAATGAAGATGATCATGAAAACTTTCCCCAGAATAGTAAAGTGAAATGACACCTATTCTGAAAGACACCTATCTTCCTGTCTGAATGGAATCTCATCAAAAAAAAAAAAAAAAAAAAAAAGGGGCGGTGTAGATGAGAAAGGTAGTACTGGAGAACAGACTTAGTGAACTATAGAACTGGGTTCAGTGTTTGATATCTTGTCAAGTATACCCTTGTCTAGGAAATACAAGGCCCTTCCTTCCATCCCTATAATGGAATAAAAACTATACCACCGTTGCTACTTATATGGTGTGTATCTTATGTATTCTTTTTAGTCAGTTACTATCAATCTATTTGTCCGAAGGTAATGGTATGTAGATTCTATCATTATTTACCTATCACACCTTGGAATATTTAAGTCAAGGCTATGCTATGTTGGTCTCAGGCAGTAGTTGCATCCAGACCCAGTTACTACCTTCAGAGTTTGCTTGCCAAAACCAAAATAATCTCCAAAGTTTGTTTTTTTTTTTTTTCTCCTCCTCTCAGAATAGAAGATCAGAACTGGGTATTGAATTAAGGGAAGGATGTTACCATTGAGTTATAGCACCACCTCAACCTATTCCTGTTTGAACGTAGTTTTAAATATTTATTTTTATTTTATGTGCATTGGCGTTTTGCACTCGTGTGTTTCTGTGTGAGGGTGTCTTATCCCCTGGAACTGGGGTGACAGACAGGTGTGAGCTGCCATGTGGGTGCTGGAAATTGAACGTGGGTCCTTTGGAAGAACAGAAAAGTGCTCTTAACTGCTGAGCTGTCTCTTCAGCTCATCATTTCCACATATCTTGAATCTTCATTTTTTTCCTTGAGACATTGTAAGCTTGGTTAAGCATTTTACTCAGTTAACTAGGTTCTGCCTTATAGGAAGATAAATCCTAGAGGAGCATTTAGAAACTCTGTGCCCCATTTCCTAGAATGAAACATAATAAAGTGATGAATACTATTATTTAAATATATATTCTTTATTTAACATTTATGCATGCATTATGTTAAATATGCTCTAGAAGGCATGATATTTTTCTGCCAAGAAGCCCAGTTGGAAAACAAGGGTAAGAACAAAAACCGCTTTAAAATAATCTTTGGTTGTAGCTTAGTTTTAGAAGCTTGCCTGTATGTGAGATTCTGGCTTCAATCCAGAGTAAGGAACATCAACAGGTCAAGGATGATATTGTATGCCTATACTCCCATCACTCAAGAGGCAACGGCGGGTGAATTGTTATAAATTTTAAGCCAAACTGATCCAGATACTGAGTGCCAGGTTAGATAGGGCTACACAGAGAGACCACTCTTCTGCCTCCTCCCCCAAAACCTCCCTCAAACTAAACCAAACCAAATCACAATGAGTGAATGATGCACAGTTTTATAATTAATTGCTAAATTGAATATGAATATGGGAACATTCCTGAATATGGCAGGAAAATGGGAATTTAAAGAAAGAGCTGAGGGGGTTTAGTGGTAGAGTGTGTGCTTAACATTCATGTAACTTTGAGATTTACTTCCTCGAACTGCCAAAGATGTGACAAAAAGGAAAGACGAGATATCCGTAAACTGCAGTGATTGCTGAAAGTTTCATGAATGTTGCTAGTGAAATAGCATAGATTTTGTATACATAAATACAAAAGAAAGGGGTATAATTCAGGTTAAAGTGAACAGTATGAATAAAGATGCATAAATAGGAATACACCAATTGGGTGTAGGTGACATGATAATTCTTATTAACAGATGGTAAGATTTTTGTGAGGAGAGGTAGATTGAGATTATGTTTGAGGCCACAATAACTATATAAACATGCCACATACTAGAAAGAATATATAATTGAACGTGGGGGCATATCTTAACTGTCTAAAGAAATGTTTCTTTGTCTAGATTGAAGAAATTGCAGTGAACCTGTGGAACTGGGTTAAGAGAACAGAATTGCCTGTGAATGAAAGCCAGTCAGCTAAACGTCTGTATACATTTTGTGACCCATTATGAAAAATAGTCTTATTAGACTTTTTGTAATATTCCTGAAATTCGACACGTTCTTACATGGGGATTGATTTGTTAAGTAACAAATAGTTTGAAAGCACTGGTTTCTGTTTCCCAGGCTAATAGCTTCCCACTGTTTATGATTTTTTTTCGGGGTATCTCTTTGATACTACAAGTTTTAAGTTACCACTGCAAGATAGTCTGGAGATGAACAAGGGTGATCAAAAGATGGGAAAGTAAAAACTAGAAGAAATATAAAAGAACATGAGTTAGACTAGGAAGACGTGGTCAAAATCTTCCCCATGAGCCCCTCCCTCCTCCCCTGCCGATCCCATCCTCCCTCCCATTTCTGCATGCATGCCACTCCCCAAGTCCACTGATAGGGGAGGTCCTCCTCTCCTTCTTTCTGATCTTAGTCTATCAGTTCTCATCAAAAGTGGCTGCATTGTCCTCTACTGTGGCCTGGTAAGGCTGCTCCCCCCTCAGGGGGAAGTGATCAACGAGCAGGCCAATCAGATTATGTCAGAGGCAGTCCCTCTTCCCATTACTATGGAACCCACTTGGACACTGAACTGCCATGGGCTACACCTGTGCAGGGGTTCCAGGTCATCTCCACAAATAGTCCTTGGTTGGAGTATGAGTCTCTGGGAAGTTCCCTGTGTTCAAATTATCTTGTTCTGTTGCTCTGCTTGTGGAGTTCCCGTTCCCTCCAGCTCTTACTATTTCCCACTTCTTACATAAAATTCCATTCACTCTGCCCATCAGTTGGCCATAAGTCTCAGCATCTGCTTTGACAGTCTATACTGCAGAAGCTTTCAGAGGCCCTCTGTGGCAGGTTTCAAGGTTGTTTCCTGTTTTCTTCTGGCTTTCAGAGGCCCTCTGTAGCGGGTTCCGAGGTTGTTTCCTATTTTCGTTTTCTTCTGATGTACATCCTCTTTGCCTTTCAGGATGGGGATTGAACATTTTAGTTAGGGTCCTCTCTTTTGCTTAGTTTGTTTAGATGTACAGCTTTTAGTGGGTTTATTCTATATTGTATGTTTATATGAGTGAGTATATACCGTGAGTGTCTTTTTGCTTCTGGGTCAACTCACTCAGGATGATCCTTTCCAGGTCCCACCATTTACCTGCAAATTTCATGATTTCCTTATTTTTCATTGCTGAGTAATCCTCCATTGTATAGATGTACCACAGTTTCTGCATCCATTCTTCAGTTGAGAGGCATCTGGGTTGTTTCCAGCTTCTGGCTATTACAAATAAAGCTGCTACAAACATGGTTGAACAAATGTCCTTGTTGTGTACTTGCGCCTCTTTTGGGTATATGCCTAGGAGTGGTATGGCTGGATCTTGAGGAAGCGCTATTCCTAGTTGTCTGAGAAAGCGCCAGATTGATTTCCAGAGTGGTTGTACCAGTTTACATTCCCACCAGCAGTGGAGAAGGGTTCCCCTTTCTCCACAACCTCTCCAGCATGTGTTGTCCCTTGAGATTTTCATCTTGGCCATTCTGATGGGTGTAAGGTGAAATCTCAGGGTTGTTTTGATTTGCATTTCCCTAATGGCTAATGAGGTTGAGCATTTCTTTAAGTGCTTCTCTGCCATTCGATATTCCTCTGCAGAGAATTCTCTCTTTAGCTCTGTTCCCCATTTTTTAAGTGGATTACTTGGTTTGTTGCTTTTCAGCTTGTTTAGTTCTTTATATATATTGGATATGAGTCCTCTGTCAGATAGAGGGTTGGTGATGATTCTTTCCCAATCTGTAGGCAGTCGCTTTGTTTTGATGACGGTGTCCTTTGCTTTACAGAAGCTTTTCAATTTCATGAGGTCCCATTTATTGATTGTTGCTCTTAGAGCCTGTGCTGTTGGTGTTCTGTTCAGGAAGTTTTCTCCTGTACCAATGAGTTCTAGGGTATTCCCCACTTTTTTTTCTAGCCGATTTAATGTGTCTGGTTTTATGTTGAGGTCTTTGATCCACTTGGACTTCAGTTTTGTGCAGGGTGATAAGTATGGATCTATTTGCATTTTTCTACATGTAGACATCCAGTTGGACCAGCACCATTTGTTAAAGATGCTATCTTTTTTCCATTGTATGGTTTTGGCATCTTTGTCAAAAATCAGGTGTCCGTAAGTGTGTGGGTTTATTTCTGGGTCTTCTGTTCGATTCCATTGATCCACCATTCTGTTTCTATGCCAGTACCATGCAGTTTTTATAACTGTTGCTCTATAGTACAGCTTGAGATCAGGGATGTAGATACCTCCAGAAGATCTTTTATTGTAGAGGATTGTTTTAGCAATTCTCGGTTTCTTGTTATTCCATACGAAGTTGAGAATTTTTCTTTCCAGGTCTGTAAAGAATTGTGTTGGCGAGTTAACAAAATGTAACTAAAAAGAAAAATAAAATAAAAAAAAAAAGAATTGTGTTGGCAATTTGATGGGAATTGCATTAAATCTGTAGATTGCTTTTGGTAAGATGGCCATTTTTACTATGTTAATCCTGCCAAGCCATGAGCATGGGAGATCTTTCCATCTTCTCATATCTTCCTCTAATTCTTTCTTCAGAGACTTGAAATTTTTTTCATACAAGTCTTTGACTTGCTTGGTTAGGGTTACACCAAGGTACTTTATGTCATTTGTGGCTATTGTGAATGGTGTTGTTTCTCTAATTTCTTTCTCAGCCCTTTTGTCTTTTGTATACAGGAGTGCTACTGATTTTTTTGAGTTAATTTTATATCCGGCCACTTTGCTGAAGGTGTTTATCAGCTGTAGGAGTTCCCTGGTAGAGTTTTTGGGGTCACTCATATATGCTATCATATCATCTGCAAATAGTGATAATTTGACTTCTTCTTTTCCCATCTGTATCCCCTTGATCTCCTTCGACTGTCTTATTGCTCTAGCAAGGACTTCCAGCACTATGTTGAAGAGATATGGAGACAGTGGGCAGCCTTGTCTTGTCCCTGATTTCAGAGGGATTGCTTTAAGTTTCTCTCCGTTCAGTTTGATGTTGGCTATAGGCTTGCTGTATATCGCCTTTACTATGTTTAGATATGTGCCTTGTATCCCTGATCTCTCCAGTACTTTAAACATGAATGGATGTTGGATTTTGTCAAATGCTTTTTCAGCATCTAGGGAGATTATCATGTGGTTTTTTTCTTTCAGTTTGTTAATATGGTGGATCACATTGATGGATTTCCGTATATTGAACCACCCCTGCATACCTGGGATGAAGCCTACTTGGTCATAGTGGATAATATCTTTGATGTGTTCTTGGATCTGGTTTGCAAGTATTTTGTTAAGTATTTTTGCATCAATGTTCATAAGGGAGATTGGCCTGAAATTCTCTTTCTTTGTTGAGTCTTTGTGAGGTTTAGGTACCAAGGTGATTGTGGCTTCATAGAATGAATTTGGTAATGTTCCTTCTGTTTCTATTTTGTGGAATAGTTTGAAGAGAATTGGAGTTAGCTCTTCTTTGAAGGTCTGGTAGAATTCTGCGCTGAAGCCATCTGGTCCTGGGCTTTTTTTGGATGGGAGACTTTTGATGACTGCTTCTATTTCTTTGGGGGATATAGGACTATTTAGTTGATTTACCTGGTCCTGATTCAGCTTTGGTGAGTCAAATCGATCAAGAAAATTGTCCATTTCATTTAGATTTTCAAATTTTGTGGCATATAGACTTTTGAAGTAAGTCCTAATGATTGTTTGGATTTCCTCAGTGTCTGTAGTTATGTCCCCCCTTTCATTTCTGATTTTGTTGATTTGGGTGGTGTCTCTCTGCCTTTTAGTTAGCTTGGCTAAGGGTTTGTCTATCTTGTTGATTTTCTCAAAGAACCAGCTCTTGGTTTCATTGATTCTTTGAATTGTTTTATTTGTTTCTAATTGATTGATTTCAGCCCTGAGTTTGATTATTTCCAGCCATCTACTCCTTTTTGGTGTGTCTGCTTCTTCTTTTTCTAGGGTTTTTAAGTGGGCCATTAAGTTGCTTGAATGAGCTGTCTCGAATTTCTTCTTGAAGGCACTTAGTGCTATGAACTTTCCTCCTAGCACGGCTTTCATTGTGTCCCACAAGTTAGGGTATGTTGTGTCTTCATTTTCATTGAGTTCTAGAAAGGCTTTAATTTCTTTCTTTATTTCTTCCCTGACCCAGCTGTCATTTAGTAACAAGTTGTTCAGTTTCCATGAGTGTGTAGGCTTTTTGCTATTTCTGTTGTTGTTGAAGTCCAGCTTTATTCCATGGTGATCAGACAGGATACAAGGGATTATTTCAGTCTTCTTGTATCTGTTGAGGCTTGCTTTGTGACCCACTATATGGTCTATTTTGGAGAAGGTTCCATGAGGTGCTGAGAAGAAGGTAAATTCTTTTGTGTTTTGGTGTAAAGTTCTGTAGATGTCTGTGAGATCCATTTGATTCATGACCTCTGTCAGAGATATTGTTTCTTTGTTTAATTTCTGTTTTGTTGACCTGTCCTTTGTTGAGAGTGGGGTGTTGAAGTCTCCCACTATTAATGTGTGGGGATCTATATGTGGTTTAAATTTTATCAATGTTTCTTTTACAAATGTGGGTGCTCTTGTATTTGGGGCATAGATGTTCAGGATTGTGATGTCTTCCTGGTGGAATTTTCCCTTGATGAGTATGAAGTGTCCTTCCTCATCTCTTTTTATTAATTTTGGTTGAAAGTCTATTTTATCAGATATTAGAATGGCTACTCCTGCTTGTTTCTTGGGTCCATTTGCTTGGAAAGTCATCTTCCAACCTTTTACCCTCAGGTAATGTCTATCTTTGTGTCTTAGGTGTGTTTCTTGTATGCAACAGATTGCTGGGTTTTGTTTACGTATCCATTCTGTTAATCTGTGTCTTTTTACTGGAGAGTTGAGTCCATTGATGTTGAGAGAGATTAATGACCAGTGGCTGTTAGATCCTTTGATTTTGATGTTGGCTGTGTTCATAAGTTTGTGTGCTTGGTTGCTTTTTGTTTTGCTCTAGTAAGGTTAATTATTTCCTGTGTTTTCTTGACAGAAGCTAATTTTCTTGGGTTGTATTTTCCCTTCCAGTGTCTTCTGTAATGCTGGATTTGTGTGTAGGTATTGTTGAAATTTGTTTTTGTCATTGAATATCTTGTTTTCTCCGTCTATGAGGACTGAGAGTTTTGCAGGGTATAGTAGCCTGGGTTGACATCTGTGTTCTCTTAGGGTCTGCATGATATCTGTCCAGGCCCTTCTGGCTTTCATAGTTTCTGTTGAAAAGTCAGGTGTGATTCTAATGGGTTTGCCATTATATGTTACTTGGCCTTTTCCCCTTGCAGCTTTTAGTATTTTTTCTTTGTTCTGTATACTTCCTGTTTTGATTATTATGTGGCGGGAGGATTTTCTTTTCTGGTCAAATTTGTTGGGTGTTCTGTAGGCCTCATGTATCCTTATTGGCTTCTCCTTTAACTTAGGGAAATTTTCTTCAATGATTTTGTTGAAAATATTTTCTGGGCCTTGGAGAAGGGAGTCTTCTTTTTCCTCTATTCCTATTATTCTTAGGTTTTGTCTTTTCATATTGTCTTGGATTTCTTGGACGGTCTGTGTCAGGAATTTTTTGGATTTAACATTTTCTTTGACAGATACATCGATTTCTTCCATTGTATCTTCTACACCTGAGATTCTTTCTTCCATTTCTTGTATTCTGTTGGTTATGCTTACCTCTGTAGTTCCTGTTTTCTTCCCTAAATTCTTCCTCTCCATTATTTCCTCCATTTGTGTTTTCTTTAATTTTTCTAGTTCTATCTTCAGATCTTGAGTTGTTTTGTTGACTTCCTTCACCTGTCTGCTTGTATTTTCCTCTTTTTCTTTTAGTTCCTTCAACTCTGTCTCTTTGATTTCTTTCAGTGATTTAATTATTTCTTCTCTGAAGGCCACAAGCTGTTTGGTTGCATCTTCCCGTATTTCTTCACGGATGGCCCTAATTTGCTTGTCTTTATCTTCCTCCATTTCTTTATGGATAGCCATGATCTGTTTGGTTTTATCTTCCTCTAATTCTTTACGTATTTTATCTGTTTCCTCTATTATTCTCTTCATCAACATAGATGTAAGGTCATCTTCTTGATTTTCTATTATGCTGCATTGTTCAGGGCTGTTCGCCCCTGGATGGCTGGGTTCTGGAGATGCCATATTGCTCTGTCTTTTGTTGGTTGAGCCTTTACGCTGACCTCTACCCATTGGGCTGATTTAGGTTTTGGCTGTTAGTTTCTGTGCTTCCTGGAGTCCTGAGGTAGGGAGTATCCCCTTGGCCGGAAGATGATTTTTCCTGAAGGAGTCCTTCTCTGCTTTTTGGTTATGGTCACTGTATGGCCAGTGTTTCTCCAGAGATGCCACTGCTCACCTCAGGTTTATAGCCCTGAGTAGTAGCTGTGGTCTATGTTAGGCAGGGGGGGGGAATCTCCTCTTACCCATAAAATTTCTCAAGACAGCTGCCCCACTGCTGGGTTTCTTGTTATAAATTTAGTGTGCTGCTGCTCACTAAATTTCCATGTACAGTCCTCTTGAAGAAACTGCTGATTCCCTAGCTATGGGGTTTTCTCCCAACAGGGAAACTCAGTCTGTTATCTTGGGGCGCACAGTTCTGTCTGAGAAAGTGGGAGGTGCACTCAGCAAGTCTCTGGGCCAAAGGCTGATTGCTCTGCTCTGGACCTGGAGAATGTGCACCTAGGTTGAGTTGGCGCCTGGGGGCACTGTTCTGGTCTGGAGGCTGGGTGCCTCACTCTGGACCAGAAGCTGTGTGTCTCTGTCTGGGATGGCGGCTGTGGGCACCACTCTGGTCCAGACGCTGTGGGTGCAGCCCCCCTGAAGGATCAGGGATTCCTACAGTTTTGGCAGTCCAGCCAGGGACAACTGGCCGATCCCTGGCACAGTATCTGAGGGCTGCTGTAATGGCTCTTCGGCTCCTGCAGGTCCGAGGATGCAGCTGTGTGTCCCAGTGCCCCAGGGGAACGCAACAATGGTGGCAGAGCACAGCGCTTCTGCCTGCACTAGAGTCTGCGTGAGTCCAGGAAGTGTTTTGGTGCTGGGTGTCCTAAGCGTTAGAGCTGCTGACCCCCTCCGCTGGGGGTTTCCTCCTGCCAGAGACACGCAGTCTGGTGCCCTGTTGCCCTGGTGCCCACAGTTCTATCTGAGGCGGCGAATCACGCGCGCAGGCAGACTGGGAAATCCAGTCTATGGTGTTGTGGCCCCACAGTTCAGTCTGGGACCGTGGCCAGATCGCGCTGGCGGGTAGCTCTGGGCTGGCGACCAAGCGCCTGGCGGAACCGGGATCTCTTCCGCGGTTTTGCCGGGTGAGTTAAAGCTGATCGAATCCCCCACCGTGGGGTATCCTCTCACCTGAGAAACACAACCACTTGTGTTTTATGGCCGCGAGTTCTGATGGCTGGTCACTGTGCTAATCCTGCTGTGCTGCTCCTCAGAATGAGAGTCCTCCCGGCGCCGCCATCTTGCCCTGCCTCTTAATTTTATTTTTATGTGCATTGGTGTGAAGGTGTCAGATACCTTGGAACTGCAGTTACAGACAGTTGTGAGCTGCCATGTGGGTGCTGAAAATTGAACGTAGATCCTTTGGAAGAGCAGACAGTGCTCTTAACCATTGAGCTGTCTCTCTCTAGGCCCTGTATGAAAAAATTTTTAAAGAAAAAACAGTTCTGGATGTGGTGGTCTGTATCTGCAATTCCATTACTGAGGAGTTGAAGGCTAGAGGTTCAGGAGTTCAAAGCTAGCTTCAACTACATAGTGAATTTGAGGCAAGCCTGGCTTACATGAGACCCTGTCTCACAGAACAACAAAAACTCAGACTAAAAACACCCACAGAAAACTCAGCAAAAACCAAATAAAAAACACCACAACTTCTTTTTTTAAATAAAAATAATAACTCTGGCTTTACTTTAATCATTGATATAGATATTTATAGATATTTATAAAAAGAGAATAAGTGCTTTATGTTTAATGGATAGCCAATTACTCTTTTTCAGTGTGTCATGTTGTTTGCAAGCTGGCATGTTTTCGTGGAATTTCAGTTTCTTCAGAAGAAGCTATTCAAAGACAGATTTTGCTAAGCCCTGATTAACTGAAGAAATGAAATCAATTAAATGAGACAGTAGTTGCTTTTGTGAAAATAATTGAAGTTAATATAAAACTGGAAGAACTCTTTAGTATTATCCATGTTCCTTTGATTTGGTATACCTAGTATAGTTGTAGTTCTCAGAAGTACTGCATTTAATAGAATGCTTTAATGAGGAAATATTGAAGATTAATTCTATATTTATGAATTCTTTTATATATTTATCACTTGTCACTTATAATTTGATAAACAAATTTCCACATAAGAGGTTGGTAGTATTTGATCTTAATGGACTTTTTTTCTAGGCCAGATATGGTAGCACATACTTATAATTGCAGTTCTTAGGAAGCTAAGGCAGGAGGATCTCAAATTTGAAGTCAGCCTGGGCTATGTAGAGATTTTCCCATCAGTCTGTCTCAGAAAACACAACACAACAAAACAAAACAAAACAAAACACAACAAAAAAAACCACTTTTTTTTATGAAAAAAATTGAGCTGTTCAGCAAATGAGAGGAACTCAGGATTAACTGTTTTGCTTTATTTGAGCCAGGGTTTTGTAGCTCAGTATTTTAGTGGGCTTTCTAATTGCTGTGATAAAATACTATGATATAAACAACATGAAGAAGGAAGGAGGGATATATGGTTTCACAGATGACATTTTATCATGGCAGAATGCATGTGGCAAAGCAAAACATTTCACATCATGTTAGCCAGAAAGCAAAGAAAAGACAGGAAGGAAATCAGGCACATGCCTGTAATCTCAGCTTTTGGGGGCTGGGACAGGAGGACTGATGGAAGTTAGTGGCCATTTCGAGCTATACAATGAATACCAAGCTGACCAAGGAGGGCTACATATCAAGATCCTGTCCCAGTATTTTCCCCACAAAATAGAAGTAATCAGAGACAAGGTAGCCCTAAGGACCTGTGACTTCTTCCAGCCAATTCCCAATCACTGTAATTTTAGTAGTGCCACTGGCTAAAGACCAAGTCTTAAGTAGATGAGCTTGTGGAAGACATTTCATATTCAAACCCTAGTCCCCAGGCTGACTTGGAACTCATGATCCTCCAACCTCAGCCTCCTGAGGTACTAAGATTACAGATGCATGTCATGATGCTTGGCTTACTTGCTTATTTATTGACCTATTTATTATTTATTTACTTAGATAATTTATATGTTTGCATGTTTTGTCTGCACCATTTGTGTGACTAGTGCCATTGGAGGCCAGAAGAGAGCATCAGATTCCTTGGAACAGGAATAACAGATGGTTATGAATCACTTTGTGGGTGATTGGAATCAAACTTGGGTCCTCTGGAAGAGCACCAAGTGCTCTTAACCAATGAGCATCTCTTCAGCCATACTTTTTTTTTTTAAGACAAGGTCTTACTGTGTAGCCCTGGAATCTGGAATTTGTTATGTAGACCAAAGTGGCCTTGAACTCAGAGAGATGCTCTTGCCTCTCCGTCTACCTCCCAGGTACTGGGATTAAAGATGTGTGTCACCATGCCTGACTGTTTATTTACTTTTGAGGCATGAGTCACACTCTATTACCCAGGCTAATTTCAAACTACTTGTCTCAAGTAGTCCTCTTGTGTCAGTTTCCTAAGTAGCTGGGCCTGTGGGCTTATATGCCATGCAAACATATAGCATGTGAAGTGTGAAGACCTAGGTTTGGATGCTAGCCCTGTGGCTTATTAGCTATGTTATTTTGAAAGATTGGTTTTCTCATTTGTAGAATGAGGACAATAATATTTATTGTGTAGTACTGCAGGGTTAAAATTTTAGTTTTACGAGATCTGTACTAGAAGAGGTGACAGTACGATGTGTTCATTCTTCCATCTCAATTCAGTCCTTAGATGCTTCTAAAGCATGTACATATTACATATCAGCTATCGCCTATGTATCAGTTACCGTACTGAGAACAATTTCAGGGTGTCTGATAGGTAAAGGATATTTAATAATGACTCAATCATTGAGTTATTCAAAACTATACTAAAGATGGAACTAAAAACTAGAACTTAGGTGTGCTGACCCATAGTCCAAGGTTTATCATATAACTTTCTTCAGTTATGTGAAGCATTAAATTTCCAGAACTTTTCTCTTTCTATATAAATTATAACTATTAAAAATATTGAGATATAATAACGGAAATTTTTGAGAACTTTACACATGACTACCTAGTATATGAAAAATATTTTCTCATAAGATGTGTTTTCAAGGTATTGTTCCAGTTTAATTTTTGTTTCTATGATGAAATAGCCAGAGAAAAATCAATGTAGAGGAGAAGGGATTTATTTGTCTTACAATTCCAGGTTACAGTCCATTGTTGAAGGGGAGGTAAGGCCCAACCTCAAGCAGTCCCATTATGTCTGCAGTCAAGATCAAAGAAAGAATATCCACATCCTCACGTGCTTGCTTTCATCTAGCATTCTCCCGATCTTATAGAGTATAAGATCCCCTACCTAGGAAATGCCAGTCCTCAAAATGTGCTGGCTTTCCCTGCATACTTTAACAATCAAGAGAATCTCTTCACGTATTTAAAGGCCAATCTGATCTGATAATTTCCCATTCAGACTCTTTTCCCAGGTGACTCTGGGTTGTGGCAAATTGTCACTTACAACTAATCACCCCAAACATTAACTTTTCGTTATTGGTGCTTTCCTCAAGACCGTTTCTCTTAAGCTGAAATTCAAAGCAGAGAACTCTAGTAAGGCTGGTTGCTGGTTTTTCCCCTGTGTATTATGTCTCAATATACAGGATAAATTATTTTCTCCAATATCTTTCAACCAATTTGGGAGATGTATAAGGTTATTTTTAAGATTTTATTTATTTATTTATTTTATGCATATTAGTATTTTATTTGCACATGCACCTGCACACCAGAAGAGGGCAGTAGAGGGTATAGATGGTTGGGAGCCACCATGTGGTTGCTAGGAATTGAACTCAGGACCTCTGGAAGAGCAGACAGTGCTCTTAACAGCTTGAGCCCCTATGTATAATGTTTGAAAATAACTTCCTAACTTCTGTTTTCCAGATGAATATGAAAACAGGAAAAGAATGGTTGGACACTGGAAATGCTCTGATTGCTGATGAATTTTTTTTCAAGCTGCCGTGGCTGTGAGTTGTTGTTGATTTTCAGTGACGGCAATTATTCGTAATTATCTGTGGTAGGTCTCATCCTCGTGGGGTTTTGTTTTTCAGAATCTGGAAAAATTATATGTCAAATTAATACAGAGGTGCTACACTGAGGCTAAGTTGGCCATGTATAAGATCACTGTGGAGAAGGGCATCTTCCGTGTGCTTTCTTAGCAAGCTGAGTCAGTAGGTTCCATAAACATGGTGGCCTAACAACTGGACATTTTGTAATGTGAGAGTCCTAAGAGGTGTCCTTGACTTTCTATAGGATATTACATTATGATAGTTGATGTTACTAGCAGTGACTGTGATCTGCAGAGTGAATGAGAGGGAGAAGAAAGATGATAGCTAAATATAATTTTCAACCACTTCATTCAACACCTGCTAATGGCAACTATCTTTTTGGAAATACTGTCTCTGAGAGTCTCATTTTAAACTATTTTATCATGTATATGGGTATGTGGTATGTATGGCGCATACACATGAGCGCGTGGGGAGGGTGTGCCTTTGTGTGCACATGTGAAAGTTAGAGCAAGACATCAAGTGTCTTCCTTTATTATTATCTGCCTTAGTCCCTTGAAACAGGCTCTCTCACTGGACTGGAAGCTTGTTTTGGGGGCTAGGCTGGTTGACCTAGTATGTGCTGGGGATTTGAACTTAGTTCTCAGGCTTGGAGAGCAGTTGCTCTTACTTACTGAGCCAGCTACCCAGCCTTGAGATTCTCTCACATTCACTATGTGCTTTAACTAGTTGGCCTCAAAGGTGCCTTCTCGTTTACAATTGTTCTGTGTTGTTCACTGATGTTTTGAAAAGTCTTCTGGTATTGTGTAAATATTAAAACATCAAAATTGTATGTTATGATTTGTTGCTTTATTAGTTTCTTTGTATTGTCATTATGGAATTAGGTGCACATTTTTAGTTGGCAAAATGTAAACTAATGATTTGTCTATGGTAATTCTAGATATGAAAGAGGGCTTAAAATACAATCTTATTATTTTAACGTCTTTATTGACCTATAATTTCTACATCATAAAATGCCCCTATTTACAATGTATCAATAATTTTAATATATTTATAGAATAGTATAGTGCTCATCACAGTCTGAGTTTAGTACATTATTTTACTCCATGATGAACCATCCTACCCATTAGCTGTCAAGTTCCCCAATCCTAGTCTTTATAACCATGAGTCAACTTTCTGTCTCTGTAAATTTGCCTGTTGTGGACATTTCATGCAACTAGAGGCATACAGTAAGTGTGATTAATTTTCTTATTTAGCATAATTGCTTAAGGTTCAATCTTGTTGCATTATGCTTTATTCTGCAGATATGCTGTATTTATCCATTGATAGACATTTGAATTATTTCCAATATTTGGTTGTTTTTCATTATACTGTGAACATTCACGTACAGAGTTTTGTGTCTACACGTTTTTATTTCTTTTGGATATATATATATATATATGTTGAATTGCTGGATAGTGTGGTAAGTACAACTATTTTAAAATTAGAATTTTTTTTGAGAAATTGCCAGATTATCTTGCACAGTGGCTGTGCCATTTTGCCTTCCTACCAGTAGTGTATGGGAGCTCCATTTTCTCCGTATCTAAAAGTTTGATAGTTTTACGTAATTCTATTTAAGCCCATGATAAATTTTTAGTTTATTTTTAGGTATTAAGTGAGACAGGCATCTAACTTTATTTATTTATTTATTTATTTATTTTGTGATCATGGCTATCCAACTATCTCAAATGCCACTTGTTGAGAAACTCTTGTTTCCTTGTTAAGTACTCATGCTACCTTTATAAAAAAAATGAACTGATCACAGATGTAAGGGCTTATTTTTGGTCTATATTCAACTATGTTGGTTAGATCTGTCTTTGTCCTACCACCAGACTGTCCTGATTAGTGTAATTATATAGTAAATTTTGAAATGATAAAGTATGAGTTACACAATTTTGTTTTGTTTCAATATTGTTTTGAATTCCATATGAATTTTAGGATTAAGTTGTCACTTTGTACAAAAAAAGCCAGTTCCAATTAGGATAGGGATAGTGTTGAATCTGTAGACTATGTTGAGGAGTATTGCAATCTTCATAATACAAAATTATATATTATAAAGTATTTTATAATATATCATAAAACTATATATTTTCTTTTTCTTTTTTTTTGAGGCAGCATCTCACTATGTATGTAGCCCTGTTTGTCCTGAAACTCAATATGTAGACCAGTCTAGCCCTGAAGTCACAGAGGTCTGGCTCTGCCTCCTGAGTGCTGGGAATGAAAGTGTGAGTACCACCATCTTTGGCTCTCATTTTTCTTATATTTTCTCTTAAAAATTTAAATTGACACAAAATTTAGGGGACATATGTTTTGATATACCTGTATATTGTGCATTGTTCACATCAGGGTATTTTTTATTTTATAGTGTTGAAAATGAAGTTAATAGAGGAAACAGGATTTTCCTGAAGGTTTAAGCCCAGAAAAAAAAATTTATTGAACTTTTTATTTTTTTGTGAGTTTCATCCATGAATAATGTATTCAAATCATTTCCATCCTTCTGTCCCCTCTAACTCTTCTCATGTCCCCTCCCCTAAACTATTGACCTTCTTCCTTAATTTTTGTTTTACATACACGCACACACACACACACACACACACACACACACACACACTCACACTAAATGCTGAGCCCATTTAGTGGGGCTCATATGTTTGTGTTTTGGGCTGACCGCTTGGGATGGATAACCTGTCAGGGAGCTCATCCCTGGAGAAGACTGGTTTCTCCTCTTGGTAGCCATTAATTGCCTCTAATTTTTCATTAGGGGTAGGACCTTGTGAGATTTTCCCCATCTGCTTTGTCGTGTCAACTGGTAGTGCCAGTATGCAAGTGCCCTTTAGGTGACCATGTTGTTGAGATTTCATAGAAGACCTCCTAGTCCTCTGGCTCTTATGTTCTTTTCTGCCCCCTCTTCCGAGATGTTCCCTTAGTCTTAGGCATGGGCTTTGCATTGCAGATGTGTTTACTGGCATTAGGCACTCCATGGTCTCCTGTTCTCTCTATTTTGACCAGTTATGAATTTCTGTGATACTTTCCACCTGCTTCCTTTGATGAGGGGTGAGAACTCCACCTGTCTGTGGGTTCAAAGATTAGTATTTAGAAAGCTGTTAAGAATTACATTGGTTTAGGAAAGTGAGAATAGTAAGGTCTCCTCTAGGGTCCATGATTTTACCTGTCATAGCTAGGTTTACAGTGCCAGGTATGAATTCCTCCTATTGACGTGGCCCTAAGTCCAGTTAGATGCTCAAGATAAAAATGCTACTAATGGTCCCTACACTTCAAATGAGATTGATCATATAGATAAATTTCTACTTCATAATTTTTGTCTTGCCTTTTATTGTTAATATCCTTTGTTAACTACGTTAAAGACAATTGTTGAAAAACTGCTATGAAGTCTAGCGGGCCTTGGGCTTATATGTTATTTTTGAGAAAGGGAATGTAGGCAGGGCTAGCCTTGAACTCTTTTTTAAAAAGTTTATTTTTTTATTAACTTTATATCCTGGTTGTAGCCCCATCCCTCCTCTCCTCCCAGTTCCAACCTCCCTCCCCATCCCTCCCTTTCCCTCTCCCTTTGCCTAGTCCTCAGAAAAGGAGAGATCTACCCTTTCCGATCTACCCCAGTTCATCAAGTTGCATCAGGACTAAGAGTGTCCTCTTCCTCTGTGGCCTGGCAAGGTAATCCTGCCAGGGGGAAGTGATCACAAGCTGGCAAGTGAGCCCATGTCCCATTCAGTCCCCACTTCCCTTACTAGAGGACACACATGAGGCCTAAGCTGCCCATCTGCTACATATTTGTAGGGGGCCTCCATCCAGTTCATTCATGGTCCTTGGTTGATACCTGAATCTCAGCAAGCTCTTCTGAGCCCTGGTTAGTTTAGTTATGAACTCTTAACCTGCTTGCCTTGGTGTCCTAGGTGGTGGGGGTAAATGCTCAGTTTTACACCTTAACTCTTACAATTTGTTCAATGCCTCTGAATTGTCACTTGACATTTCTTGGCCTATAAAAGCCAGTATTTCAATTAGGTAAGTGCGTATGTACAAGACTGCCAGTTGCCTGTGTACTAGACTGGGAGAGAGGTACCTCTGCCTGGCCGGTAGTTCATGTGAAAAAGAGCTGTGGTCCAGTGTAACCATTTGTACTGGGTTGTCAACTTGACAGAAGATAGAATCATCTAGGAGACAAGCCTCTGGGTGTGTCTGCGGGGAAACTGTCTGGATTATCTTAGCGTGCTGGTGTGTCTCTGAGGAATTGTGAGATTAACTGTGGTAAGAACACCTACCAGGGATATGGGCAGCATCAGTTCATGAGCACAGGTCTGCTTCCAAATAAAGAACAGAAAGTGAGCCGAGCACTAGCATTTATTGCTCCCATCTTTTGGACTGTGGACACAATATGACCAGAAGCCTTATACTCCTACCACCATGCCTTTTCCTGCCATGATGGACTTCCCCTTGAGCCATATCCCAACATAAGCCTTTCTTTTCTTAAGTTGCTCTTTTGTTAAGTAGTACATCTTAGCAACAAGAAAAGGAGTGAATACAGCCAGGAGTATTGGTTCTTGCCCGTAGTCACAGTTATTCAGGAGGCTGAGTCATTAAGATCACTTGAGACCAGGCGTTTGAGCCTAGCCTAAACTATATAGTGAGCATCTGTATCATAGCCTATTTTAATACTATCTAGGTGGGCATTTTATATGAGTGAGATAAATTGTGTATATTGTGGTCATTTCTAGGCATTGAAATTTAAAAATAATTGGATTCGTATAAAAAATATACCATGCCTTAGAAAGACAAATGGGATGTGTATTGGACATAGGAGAAAACAAGTAACAGGACAGGAGTCTACCATAGAGGGCCTCTGAAAGACTCTACCTAGAAGTGTATCAAAGCAGATGCTGAGACTCATAACCAAACCTTCAGCAGAGTGCAGGGAGTCTTATGAAAGAAGGGGAAGTTAGTATGACGTGGAGAGGATAGGAGCTCCACAAGGACCAAATATATGTGGGCACAGGGGTCTTTTCTGAGACTGACACTCCACCAAGGACCATGTATGGATATAACCTAGAACCTCTGCTCAGATGTAGCCCGTGGTAGCTCAGTAACCAATTGGTTTCCCATAGTAAGG